TTAAACTTGATACGTTGACAAAAAAATCTTTGTACTAAAAATTGCATTTGTCCGTAATTATTTGATTTTAAACTTTCTAAAGCTTTAAATCCTACTTTTCTACCAAGCCATGATAAAAATTCTTTATCAACGAATGTGCTGCCACAAAGATCACCGATGCGTTCAGTAATTTCACTCAATTTATTTTCTGGAAGAAGTTTTCGTGATGTCAAATCTACTGTACCACCACCGCAATCAGCTACTAAGAAAGTATCTATTCAAGGAAAAAAAAATTTAAACGTAAAGTGAATAACTAATTTTTTATTATTAATTGTAAGTTCAGTAAGTAAATAAGAAGAATACAATACATACCTCCTGGTTTCAATTTATGTTCCTTTACGACGCTAAGACAGTGAAGTGCTGCAGCTTCGGCTGACGGAAATAGACATAAGGTTACGATTAAAAGAATGATATAATAATCAATAACAAGACAAAACCTAATAGACATACGTTCAGTAGTAAATTCGATATTCTTTGAATTAAAGTAGGTCAATAATCCTGCGTTATATGCACATTGCCTCATGATTCTTGTTGTATTTGGAGGCTAAGACAACGAAAACAAGAGCATATATATGATTTGATAATTGAAAAAAAAATTGATATTTTGTCACGTACCCACTCGGCTGGAATTGTAAACACAAAATCAACTTGATGAGGAAATCTTAATGTAGGCCATCGTTTCTCAAGAGTTTCTTTGATTAATTTCCTCAATTGAGTTAAATAATCTTCAATGGCTTTAGTATGACTCAATTGAGGGGGTAACCAAGGTTTTTCATGCTCTTGTAAATCCGATAAATGTAACTTAAATAATTCCACGGGACGTGGACGTTGTTCTTCTGAATCATCAAATTCTTCATCAGGTTCCTCTTCTAATGCCGAATCTCCCCAATTTGTCACATTATTATATCCTTCATCGTATTGCAGTGCAGTAGGTGTTTTAAAAATACCTTCTCGTTCTGGCCTAATAATTGGAATAAAGTGTCTTTATTTTTTCTTTTTTTAAAAATATGATTGACAATAATAAAATAGTTACCAAGAACTGTTTACAACAACGCTTTCAGGAGTTTCTTTATGGACATACGCAAAACCAGAATAGGTGGTTCCAAAGTCTATTGCAACAAGTATTCTAATATCTTGTAAAGCCATAATTTCTCAATATATTAAAGGTAAAACAAATAAATTTGATTATACTTTAGAATTTATAAATTCGAAGTTAAATTCTAAAATAGATTATAATCTTACCTTCTAAAGAATTATACTATACATTAATGGTGATCATTACTTAAAGAACGCCATATGACCGTTTCAAAGTATATTATTTTCATTCAAGATGAGATGAAAAACAAGGGACCATACATTTCTTAAATAGGAGAAGAACGCTCGACTATCTGCATGTTTAACATAAAAATAATACATGATCAAAATAAAATCAAGTCTTCACATGATATCACAATTGAATTTCTTTCAAATTGAAATTTTTTTTTCAAAAAAAAAAAAAATAAAAAAAAAAAAAAAAAAAAAAACGCTCGAACATTTTTTCATTATTATTTAAAAACATGGAGAAAAGAACATCCGCTACGAATAATAATATCATTCTAAGGCAAAGAGAACCGAAAGAAGAACAACGTTTAATGTGCAATAATGACACTCAAATATATGCTTTAGAGACTATCCATTCTCTTGATTGGAAATTATTTAGGTGGTTGGCTTCCTTGCAAAAAGTTGAAAATTTTATTTATTTATTTATCGTAATTTGGAATTCTACTTCATTACGAGATAATCCACAAATTTCACAAGAATTCATAAATGATACCAAAAATTTGATTGAGTCCGTAAAAGAATTGGCTACTTTCAAAGCACTCCATACTACGCAAAGTAATGAATATATTAGCAATTTAATAGAATATAAAAATTCTCGCTGTGCCGAAAATCATGCATTGAGTAAAAAGTTAGCCAATAATGCTTGGGCAGAATTAGAAGATAATAGATTAAACAATTCATATGCTTTTGAGGAACAACTACTACGTTTAACGTACGATCAAAAAATGTATTTACGACAAATGATCTATCATAGAATGAGTTCTTTTCGATTAACTGCGACAAAATTACAATATGCATGGAAAAAAATAGGAAACTTACAAGAACAGATAAAGGCCTTGAAGGAAGAAAATTCACAACAACAAGCGGCTCTTGGAAAAATAATAAATGTATCTTGGGATGATGATGATTGCAACAGTTCAGCGAAATTAATTTCTGATATTGAAGAATTACAGGATATGTTAACAGATTTTACAATGGTTCAGGGAAGTGATTTTAAAGTTAATAAAGATTCTGCAACAAACCTTTTAAAGAATTATAACTGTCATACGAAATATCCAAGTACGGATGCAGAGCTTGTTTTAGGAGCGTTACTTCAACGTTGCACGATCGCAACAGTCTTGGATGAGGCACAAAAGCACATACTAAATGCACGTTCAGAAAACTTTGATCCACTTGAAAGTGATATTGTCAATACTACCGAAAGTTTAATTAGTTATACCGAATTATTTAGAGAGAAACGTAAAGGAAATGATGATATCACTAAAATTACACCAATTAAAATACGTCAACACGTTTATTCTGCACTTGGTTGTCGCGGCTTTTCCGATGATGAAAATCCTTTAATTAAGAGAACGGCAAATAAATTGTTGGATGAAATGAATCAATTTAGACAAGTAACGGATAAAGAAACTAGCGATGAATTAATTGATCTAGCTCTTAATATAACTCGTGAAATTATTAATATATTTTGTTTTCGTTTAAAAACACAAGCTTCTGAATTGCAGCATAAATTTTTCCAAGCTGGTCAAGCGATAGACACCCGCTATATGCAAGGAAGCTTTGGACGTGAAGAAGCTAAAAAATTGGAGGTAGAAATTTGTGGATTTCCTTGCATCGGTGTGTTTGATAATGATCGGAAAGTATTTACAAAGGCTCAAGTCATTGCAAGACAAAAAAGAAGCAATAGTCGTGATTCTATTGTCAATACCATGAAAAGCATGGTTATTGGAAATAAATGAATTTGAATGTGTTCTTTTTTATTTGTATTTTTATTTTTATTTTTTGTGATTTATAAATATATATCATATTTTTTAAAAATTTTATTTATTTACTACTTGTAATTTTCATAAATATCATGATAAATAAATTATCAACAATTTCAAATCTTAAAAATACCGAACTTTTCTCATTAAACTTCGACTTCCGATACACAATTATATTATGATAAAAAAATTTTTTTTTTTGTAGCTTTTTTTTATCTCGTGATTACCGAATACCTCCGAAAATAACAACATTTGTCGATCTACGCGAAGAAACGAATATAGTAGAAGGAAGATAAGAGTCGTCATATGCATAAAATAATGGAAAATATTAAATCAGAAATTAGTTACTGGCAAGTTCGAACTCGAACATAAATATTAATGAGCAAACAAGAATTGCATTTTTTTCTGAAGTTAAAAAAGTATATATATAATTGGAGTATTCAATTTGTATATTACTGATTTATTTATAGACAAATCAAAATAATATGTCATTCAGCGATTTTAGTATATAATTCTTTCAAAGGTCACTAAAAGAATCTGTTAAACGACAATTTCAAGATTGTGTGTTTGCTTTTGCAGTAATATAACCAGCAACTATCAGCTAATAATTATGTCAGTAAACATTACATTTAATGATAACCTTTAAAAAAAGATTCGCAATTTCTGAAGTGATGCCGGAGATATTTCTGCAGGGAATTTTCGCTGATGATTTATTTAGTGATTTGTGGTTTTTTATTTTCGATTTCTTCGAAACGCACCCTATTTTCCCTTGATTAACTCTTTTGCTTAAATCGCTTCCAAAATTTAATTACTTTCTTTTTTGTTTTGCTTTTACCTTTTTTAATATATATGAATTGGTTGGTTTCTCCTACGATACCTTCGTTAATGCAGCGATCAATATATTTGATTTATTTTTTTTAATAAAATATGTCTTGTGATACCTTTAGTCCTTTTCGGATTAATTCTTTTCCATAATGATAAATTATAGGTAGGTAAGAATGTTATTACTAAGACTTAAATGACAGAGATAATTTTTTCCTCTTTTTGTAGTCCCGGGGTTTGATCGCTTCGGGGGGCTGTAACGACCTAATGCTTTGACAACCGTTGCGCATTTTTTTTAAGAAATTGCATTAATTAATATCACTACTAGAAAAAATCGATAATTACTGCATCATAGTAAATATGATTATCGTGCTTACCCATATGATGTAGACGATCTAGTTTTTTAATATTTTTAGTGATATCACGGAGTTTATAGAAAATTATCTACACTAATAAGTAAATTATTAATAATACTTGTTTTAATATTTATATTTATTTATATTATTTTATTAGTTTATAATTTTTACTAAGAGGGATAATTAATAAATATCCCAAAAAAAAAATTTTCTAACGAGTATTTAGATAAGTTATACTCTTTCACTTTCGCGATATCAATTTCAACTATACGGATACAGAATTAATTAAATTTTTATCAGCTGTAATTTTTGAAATTAGTTTATTTAATTCTTGCGGTTAATTTTGATTACCATTTAGTAGTTGACAAAAGGAATTTTTTTTATTGTTGCAGTATTAACGGTTGTACTTTCATCTTTATTTTTCAAAAAAAAAATTAAGGATAATAAATAAAAAAAAAATATCGAAGATGCATTAACATTAAAAGGTTGATTTATCTTGAAATAAAGTTAGTTAGCATATTAATTGTTGCTTTTTTATTAAATAAAGCAAGTCGTCTTCTATGAATATATTAATAAGTTCGCTAATAGGTTTTTCAAATGTATAATTCGCCTAACATAAAAATAGTTAAATTACATCACAAAAAAGTAAAATTTATCTTTTTTTCGTGGTTCTCAAAAGTGGTTCTTCCATTTTTTTTAAAAAATTTATTTATAAATGACGTGAAAGAGAATGTTAAAGAACTTCTCTTCATAATTTTAAGTCAACATCATAAAATTACACGATAATTTATCAACGCAAGCACAATAACTTATAATTATTAAGATCGATTAGATTTTTTTAATCGATTTCTTGACAGCAAAATTCATAAAACTTGGGACACATGATAATAATAGGTATACTCAGTATAAGATAAAACTACATCATTGTGTTCGGCCTAATGCTCCAAATCTAACAATATATATTTTTTTGCCTTATTCTGAGCTTTATCGAGATGTCTCTGTGCTAATTTTCAAAAACTATGTAGAAAAGCCAGAAAATTAGGAGTGTACTGTTACATCTAAAGGAGTATTATTGATTTCTTTTTTTCATTGAATAATATGTTATTAAATCTTGTGTAAATTATATCTTTTTAATAGTCGCATGGTTTTTCTGTTTTCAAAAATTATGGAACAGCCGATGAAATCCGAGATTCTTCCGAGATCATTAAAAATTATGTGACCCGGATGATCAGGTGTTCTGATTTAATCAATATCAATATAAATTGACGTGCCAGACTTTTTTTCTTTATTACGATACGACTTTAGTTTGTAATAAGCAACTACCCTGATATCAACCAAAAGAAAGCTAATACTATTCACCTGTATGTACTTGAAATTCTGTAGAAAAAGATGTAAAAAAAAAGAATTAGGATTAATGCACACAAAAAAAAAATTTTTTAAATAAAATAAACTTTATATGACACTTTTTTTATTTTCGGCATTAATATTACCCTTGTGAAGTCGAGATGGGTTAAACAATAATCGGGTTGAGTTGAGTCCGAGTCAAATAATGATCGAAGAGGATTCAGGTTCTGTAATTATTAACGGGTTCGAGTTCAAGTACCTGACCCTCACAGAACACTACTCAGAACACAAAATTCTATACCGAACTTTACCTGAGTTGTCTGCAGAATGATCAGCCGTCTCGTGAATTTTAAAATTAGCGTTTACTTGTAATATAATCTAATAACTTTCCACTTCTATAAAATATTTCTCCCATGCTATAGCTTGCAATACGAATTCCGGTGAATGATAGCGCGATTAAAAAATTTACGATATATTATAATGATTCCTACTGTATAATAAATCATTTATTTGACGTACTGTTATATAACTTTTAATCAAACTCTTTTGTTTTATCTCTTGGATGTTCAATATAGTTATAGCCTAATATTAGCATACTTTTTTTAGCAAGTCTTTAGAGAATGCTGATATATGGGATCTTTGCTATTAAAATTGAGTTACGAACATAGGAAATCATATGATCCGTAACGTGATTTTAATAGCTTACCTCTCATATTGATGATTCCCTATTTCTTTTTTGTAGCTGTCGGCAAAATGATTGTCGTTAAAAAGGTCTTGATGAAATAATCGTCGATAAATTGATCGTCGGCGAAATAACCCCGTCGGTGACGTAAGTGTCGACGAAGTGGTTGTCGGGTAAGTGACCCAGACCCACTTATAATACCTACCGTCAAAAATACTCGGTATCTAATGAAATACCCACGGATATCATTCAATTTTTAAATTGGGAAAATTGTAAGATACCCGGGATATCTTATGCAGTGCTAAACGGTAGTAATAAACTCACAACCCAATTAAAAATTGCTTATGTTGGTTCAAAATTGTTTTCATATAAAGAAATTAACTAATCAAGATGATTTTTATAAAAAATAAATATAATATTCATAAAATATTCACAATACTATTCCTAATAAGTCCAAAATATGATATTCTTTGTGCGTTGGACCTAGATTTTAACATAAGCGGATGTGCGTTTTTAACATTCCTTTTCATATGCTTGGATACAAGAAATATAATTTTCCGAAGATTTATTAAGTAACGCCTGAGTAAGAAAATAAGCATCTTCAATTGCATTATTGGTTCCTAATCCAAGTACAGGGTGAGCATCTCCCAATAATGTTACTCGGCTACTTTTTTGAGGATTAATAGACGATGGGTCAATATCTCGCAATTTCTTCTTTTAACTGGATTATAGGTTATAAACGGATATTTTGCTTGATCATTTGGATCATTCTGAGGAACTAAGTCCATAATTCTAATAAAACATTATTCATTTTGCAATATGGCCTAAATTTTCGAATTTCATGTTTGATTACTGATGTAGGACAACCTTATTTCCATCTGATTCTTTGGTATCAATTTTGGAGGGATATGTGTAAGAAATATTTACTCTGTAATAAGGTTCATTGAAATCATGCTTGTTCTTGTAATTTGGATCTTGTTCAATTGGAATCAATTGAAAGACCAATCACCGTGCATTCCAAGGGATTTTTGAAATAGACCTCTCCATGAGTTTTCATTAACCTGTTAACAAGATTTTTTTTCACGGAATTTCTGAGGTAATTAATCGAAGATTTGTAATTCCGGTACCTTTTGCTTTTGAATTACAACAAAAAAGAAAAGACGTAAATTAAAAATATTTCAGAAAATAAAAAAATTTATTGTCAGGTTAAAAATTTAAATGCCCGGAGAATTAATTCTATTTGCTATCGCTTGACTCTCGTGAACCATTTTCAAAATTTTCGGTTTCTTCAAATCCAATGCATTTTTTACCAATTGAATTAGCACACATTTATCAATAAATACGTCTTTAAGCATAACACGGTAACCAATAATAGCACAATATTCATTAGAGATTTCTGACAGTTCATAAACTTCTTTAACTTATTTAGTAAGATGTCTGAACATAACATTTAGTAACTTCTTTCTTCTTCGTCAGACTTTTTGGATTTGTAGAATAAGGAAAGAAGTTGTTAGAGGTGTTGGGAGTGGTATCAAAAAAGAGAAATTAATTAACAATAAAATAATAAACTGAGCTTTGATCTGAGACCCGTTGTGATAAGTCCAGTAATCATCATGCATGCCTCGTTAATTCCATCGTCACCTACATTATCTGGGAAAGGGGAAGAACACGATTATAATTTCTTGTATAAAAAGAAACTGGGAATAGGAGGTCACCCTTCAAACACAGCTATACCACCACATCACTAACAAGACCCCCTCGTAATTTTAAATGAAAATAATTTCATTTGTGGGACACGATGTAGTCCTATCGTGCTTTGACAGCGTGTATGGTATCCTTTCTCTTAACAATATTCAGACCACCCCGCTGCTAAAATGACAAGACGATGATAACTAAATAAGAATACTTACATGATAATACCGGTATGTTTCCTTGGATTTCTCAAGTGTCATGCCCTAACAACTGTTACCCGTTACCACCACGGTTTATAGGATATGTTGGAATCTGGGAGTTTTTGGAATGTAAACATAACCTCGTAAGAACGCGGGATTAACCTTTTTACGCCGAAACTTCGCAAAAGCATCACTTGCGGAAGTTCTCTTAGAACATGGTTTGATATCTGGGATGTAAGCAACAGATAGTGCAACATTCAATAAAGCTTAGTCTTTTTTTTTGTAGTTTAAGCATTTTTGACCGTGACCAACCGACTATAATATTATTTTTTAGTAAAAAGAATAAAAATAAAAGGTTGTGGAAAAGTTTCAGTAAAAAAAAGGAGAGAAGTCGTTAATTTTAATGCGGTTGACATCAAAAAATTTCCCAGATGATCGGCGAATTGTAATTCAAAATTTGGAAGTGATTGAACCCCTGGTTCTCGTCGATATTATAATCATAACAAGTTCTAACGAATTTCGAATCTTTACATTAAATTCTTATCTTAATTTTTATTAAAGAATGATAAAGAACAAAGTCCTCCTGGTCCTGCTTCAAGCTTTTCAAAAAAAAATTGCTAAGCATAATTTGAAGATATTTTTTAAAAAATATTTTAGTTTGTCTATATTCAAATAAGAAATTTATTGCATGATCTTCATGACCAATAAAAATATTCGCACAATCAGATAAATATATATTACGCTACCAATAATTAATGTCAGTTGATTGCTCTCTTCAAACCCTTATTTATAAAGGAGTTAGAGTTAACGAATACTGACTACTTTTTTAAAAAAAATTTACAATTATACCCTCTCTTCCAACACTTTGTATATTTTAGTACAAACAACAAAAAAAAGTGAAACGAACTTTATTAAGATATCATAACTTGTTTACACTTTGTACATGTTTCATCGACCTTACAACGCTTTTCTAACGACGACGATGATAACCAAAGAAAGTTTTCTGCATTAGCATCGAACTTCAATCATAAGGTAAGTTTCTTACCCATGCTTACACTTAATGCGTGAATTATTCTAGACATCCTTTAATTGATACCCATGTGTAATCTCATAAAACTTGTTTAGAACACACGCGTCACTGAATTACTTAGAGTTTCGGAACATCTCTAATCAATAAAAAAACTTTCTCTTATTTTAGGTACACTTACCACACCATTGTAGTAATCGACTCTTTGACGGCGACGACCTGTACGGGATTGTTTTCTTTCCATTATTTTCTATAGATCCGAAAGGTCTGACGAGAAGAGAAAAGTAGTTTTTCATACCATCATCCAACGGTTGACGTCTAGGATGAATTCTTAAGAGGTAGGGTTAAGATTGCATTTTAGACGCAGTCATTCGTTGAAGTTGGTTTCTTGGTTATGAGGCAGTATGCGCGATCATTGGTGAAGTTACATATAGGGCTTCTTGGCTTAAAGTAGTTTAAACAATACTGTATTATGCGAGTTAAACATTGTACATCTTCCTACTATGATAAAATGTATGTAATTGCATTCACTGGTCGGGTCTTCTACTAATTGCCTATTATAGAATTTATTGTAGTTTGAATTCGGGTGGTCTTGTTTCTTTTCTCTCTTTACTTAGTAGAAATACTAATGTTGTTTATAATATATTATTTTTGTTATAAGTCTTTATTTTAAAGAGCTCAAATAACTGGTCCGGTCATAAATGGTCAAAAGTTGATGGACAAAGTGGTAGAATAATAAAAAACTTTGGCTAAACTAGTCTTAGATTAAAGCGGTCTTGTAAAGATGTATAATAAACTAATAGAACTTATTTGTAATATATATTATATTAATAAAAAAGTATAAATTATACGAAAATAAAATTTAATAAATATCATGCATTTATTATTTGAATTTTCTAAGTTAATTTTGTTGATAAAGAAAATAAAAAAACAAAATAAATAATTTTTAATTAAATAAAAATTCGAAACTTATAAAAATATATGTAAGATAAATAAATATCACTTGTTTATAGTAACAACGTCGGCGGCGTGGAAGAAAGTTTATTAAATGTTTAGGACAAACTAATTTAGATTTCTAATTAAATGGTGCGAAATTAAGAATGAATTGTATGAATTGAATTAGTAATTTAGTTGTGCCTAATGAATAATTTTGAAGACTTGTATATTAGATAAATTATAGAAGAAAAGAAGCGAAGTTAGTCATAATTTTTTATAGAGTTAATTAATTAAATTATGGTCGAAAATAGCCTAAATTTAATTCATTATTATAACACGTGAACTACCTACTATGTTACATTGTCGATCAATATATTAGTGATACACCAATCGCATCAAAAGTTTATGTTTCTTAGGTGTTATAAATAAGATCCCGTGAACAACGCTGTAAAATTTTTACATCTTTTTGTCTACTTCTATTGCTTATCAACAGAAACTGAAAACATTCCATACGAATAAATACATCAAGTTTTCCCTGTAAAAAGTAGTCACTTCAGCATTTTGTTTCAATTATTAATAGAGAAAAAGAAGACACATAACAACACTCGTTGTGTTGCTCAGAAACTCCTAAACAATAAAAAAGTAAGTATAGTGGGATGAAAAATTTCGACGGATGAAGCTTGCGTCTACCAACCTGGTTTTGGTAGGCCTTATGGAATTTTCCAGTTACAGTTTTTCGATAAAAGATCTGTTGACTCTGAAAAGAGAGGATCGACTAACATTACCGGTACTCAATATCAAACTTTGCCTTAACTAAAGTTTAGTACTGGATTTTCCTGCATCCAACATCTTAGTTTAATTTTTGTCTGATTATTCTTATCATGAAATGATTCTAAATGAATTTGCTTTTTTTATAGGATAACGATAGAATCGTTCAGGTCTTATGGAATAAAGTGAAGTCGTATCACCATTACCATTATCACCGTCACCTAGTGATGTATTTGGAAAGGATATTTGACCTTGGCTCAAATGTTATTATAAATTTCATTTTTGCTCTTTTTTTTTTTTTAATGTTATATTACTAATTCTTATTAATTTATAGATTTCCAAGACAATTTATTAAATAATTTTCTATTAGGAATAGCTTGTTATGCTATATATAGTATGGTTATTTTAACAGTGATCATTGATGTCAACAAGTAAGTGAAGAAATAATGTGTTTTATCTTTTTTTCGTGGAAGTGTTTCGTGGTGTAGTGTAGTAGCTTAAGTACATTTCGACCACAAAGGTCTACTGTTTCTTTACGAGGATTCGGTTATGAAATTGCTTTATTGCAAACCTAAATGATGATCTGCGAGCCTCTTGAAAACGAGGTTTCACTTTTAGTTATCACCTTTGTAACTGAAGTGGATCTTGAGTTTCTACACTAATTCGTCTCATTTCACACATATTTTTTTACCTTTACCTCTATGCATTTCTATGTATTTTTATGCACATATATTTTACTACTTTTGCATCTCCATTACCTACCTATCCAAACATATTTCTTACTCTTACATTTTTCATTTCAAAATAGAGTACGACGATGGCGATATTTTAAGACAAGATTTTACTAGACTTCCATTCCGAAGAAAAAAGTTCATCCTAATTAACGACATGTTTTAAAAATCATTACAAGCGGTGTTTTATAAATTGGCAGAGATATTGACGTGCTTACTAGGAATTCCTCGTCATGATGAAGTTTCACGATTGTGCGTCCCAGAAAATCAACCACCATGTTATTCGCCACTTAAAGCTATTGTAGCCCTTTTTATACACTATTTTGGTTTTGGTATATATTTCAAGTTAATGTTGTAAACTTTGAAATCGGATTGTCTAGTCGACTCTATTTGTAGCGCAGGAAGTAACAATCTTATCATTTTTTAGGTGATCAATGATATCATAACAGACATAACAAAGAAATACAAGAGTATGATTCTTGCTTCTTTTGGTGGATTATTTGCGCAGACTTTATTCTCAATATGGTGGATTTTCACATTCATTGGTATTTATTTTTTTTCGTTTTGTTTTTTTAAAAAAAAATGTATTGATATTTATGGACGTAATTTTCTCTAACCCAATTCGATTATCTGCCGCATTTTTTGCCTTTAAATAATCAATAGCAGCTTATCAAATTTCGGTATACAGAAGCTTGCAAAACAAGGCCGATGAAAATTTGCCCGTAGTAGGAGGAGGATGTGAAATGGAAAGTTAATTGCTTTTATATAACAAATGACGTTCTATAGTCAACCTTTTTATTTTAAAGTTTTAATATCTAATTGTGATTTGATGTTAATTATAAAATTCTCTTCTCAAAATTTCTTATTTTAAAAAAAAAATTAACAAAAATTTCGTTAATTTTAAAGCATATATTAAAAAAAAAATTTGTTATATCAGGTGATAATATTTAGAGACATCAATCATTTTTTAAAGAAGTTAATTAATATTTATAAAGTATTGTCCAGCTCTCCTTCATTTGGTGAACCGATTTATTTTCATACAATATCTAAGATCAATAAGCTGTATTTGCAAATAATTGGAGGCGGAGGATTAGTTAAAAATTATATATGCAATGTCAACATCATGGTAACTATTTTTTAATTAATTAAATTTAAAATTGAATTTGATGTTAACGTTAATATGCTTTAACGTGGATTTTTTTTTTTATTTCCGCAGAATGGAGAACTCGTAACATTTATTAGATAGATTTGCCCCGAAAATCCTAACTCTGTTCTAACAATACGAAATTAGACATGATTGTGGCTGAACTCTTTTGGGAATAGTTTAACAAGCTCAATTACATCAAAGATTTGGTTTTTTTTTTTTTAACCCAAATTTTTGGTTTGTCATATATGTATACTTAATCAATTTAGGGGTTTTGAAGTGATTTTGGTCAGTCCGAATGTAAAACAAGTTGGTGAAACGAGATATGGTGTTAAATGGCACAGATGTAAGCTCTTTAATAACCTTTTTTCCAAGTAAAAAAAAAGCATTGCAATAGAATTTCAATCCTTTTTATAATCAAAATGTAAAAACAATTTCTTAATTTAAATTCTTCTACAAATAACGATAAAAGTTTCGAGTAAATTATTCAAATTTCTTTTTTTAATATATTTAAAAGACAAAATTTACTTTTTCACACAATATAAATCAATGATTGACTCGTGATTTTCCGCCGCGTAGTAAATTAATTTTTTTTTTTTCGAATCCGTTTTACATAATTTACCTAGCTGGAATAAAAAATACGTACTAAATCTGAAAAATAAAAAAATTACACTACATTAATCATTCCGCGATGATAAAGAATGTCCAATAAATGGAGGTATTACATCAGTTTAGTCACTTGGAAAATTAAAATTTTGTATTTTTAGATAACCCATTTATGAAAAACACAGATCACATGATAAATTTAAACTTATCATCAAAAGGAATCGTTCAGTCAATTCACTTTAAACTAGTTAGTCACGCTGTTATCACTAAGCGAGAATTTTCATTTGTTAAATTTTTTTTCACTTTCTTATTTTTTGCATGTTATTATCATTATCAAAGTCAAATGAGTCGGGTTAAATACTGTATCTAATCATTTATAAGAATTGCATGATGGTTCGTGAAAATAAATTGGTGCTGTCACAATAATTAAAATTATTCTGCCCATTTTTTTTTAGAGATGTTAGGAATTATATTTTGAAAGAGTAATTGAAAATATTAAGGATTTTGATGGTTCTGCTACCCGTTGAAACATTTGCCACCCGTCGAAACTTTTTTTACCTGTTGAAACTTTGCGGATGTTAAACATAAATTTCATTTTAGATAATTTTTTTTTTTTCGTAGTAAGAGTAATAAGTAGAATTATTACAAACAGCATAAAAAATTGTTATGAGTGATATTGAATGCCTGCTGTCATAACAAGGGCGTTACCTCTTACTCCCACGCTTTGGAGAAATTGGGCACATAGGGTTGATAAGCCACTACCATCTAAACCTCACAAAGTTGATAACTACCCTTATCCGGATCATCATAATCTGTATATTATGGAACATCATGAGAAGTTACAATTATTTAATTTTAGAACCTTTTAAATTATATCATACACGTGATTTAAATAAATCAATCATCGATGATTTTTACTTTTTATTTTTTCTTTTTTTAAAAATATATTCTAACCAAGTTAACGTTATAACGTAAGCAGTAATTTTTTAAACTAATAAACAATCGACGAATCTGTTTTATCCTTTTATTTCCTTTTTCCAACTTTAACATGGGTTGTAT